GAGCCGGTGCGTGCGCGGGGCTGGGCAGGGGCGGGGGATCCACGAGTCCAGAGGCTGGACCCCGGGCTCGGAAACGCGACCTGGCCCCGGGACCTTGCTTCCCGGATTCCCAGCAAACCCAGACTGGGGGCGGGGAAAGGGGAATCGGGGTTTTCCCGGGCCTGACAGAGGAGATTCCCCACGACCTGGGGCGGCGCAGAGATCCAACGCGGGCCACTCTAGGGACCCTGGGCCTCGATTGAAGGAAACATGCCGGGGGCAGTGGGGATCTCCGAGCTGGGTCGGGATCCGCGTGCCTGCTCGATCACCTTACCGCGGGATGGGCCGCAACTGCTGAGCATCTGCGAGGTAGTCCGGCGCGCAGCTCCGGAGAGCTCCAGGTCCGGCGCTTTTAAGGAGCGAAGCGGAATCCTGCAGGAGACCGGGGCCCCGGACTCAGGGGCTTCGCCACTGATTGTCCAAACGCAATTCTTGTACGAGTCTGCGGCCAACCGAGAATTGTGGCTGGACATCTGTGGCTGAGCTCCGGGCGCAACAGGGGCGAGGGCCGCAGGGACGGAGCTCAGCCTCGGGGCGGCGGCTGGCTGGCCCCAGCGCGAGGATCGCGGCCCCGGCCCGGCGCGCCAAAGAGGGACGCCAGTCCCTGTCACCAACGCCGCCATCCTCATCCTCGTCCTTCCTTCTCTTCCTCCTCCACGGGTGACTGATCCCCGCTGGTGGGGTTCTCCAATCTATCTCGTCGTTTTTCCCCCTTTCCAATTTCGGCCGGAACGAAGCTGGCACGCAGCGGCGGGGGGCGCCCCCGTCCGGGGAGCCCGCCCTCGGCCAAGCCGCAGGAAGTCGGGGGTGAGGGAAGATGCCGGCAGAACGCGCTGGATAACTCGTTTCGAATTTATGCTAACCTACCCCCCCCCCACTAATACCCGAAAACAAACAAACAATCATCTTAAACCATACATCCCAAACCAAACCCTCCAGCAAGTCCCTCCAGACAGACCGATGGGCTGAGCTTCCTCCAACCGCGGCTGGAGTCGGAGAAGCTCCGAATGATGCGCTCCAGCCGGGCATTCGCCTGGGCTTTGGATACAGAACTTGGACAAACGAATCCTTTTCATTAAAGAAAAATCTTCGGAGATAGTGGGGTTTTTTTCATTCATTTATTTCCTCAAAAGCGAAGGGGGCGGTGTCAGGTGTTGCTTGGGAGAGAGGGGTTAGGAGTTGCTGGGGCTGAGCCTGCCCCTGACCCCTTTCTGGCTTTTAGTTAAAAGTGACCTGAAATGGTTCGGAGCCTTGACTCTGGCCAATATCAACCGGGATGCTTGGATTTCCACTGTGCGGAGAACCCGGTATTCCCAGCGTGTCCTCTTGCCCTACTCTACAGCATTAACTGGGGTGTGATGGGGGAAGGGATATTCTGTATCTATCACCCCCCATCTCTTGCAGGCAGGGAAAAAGAAATACAAGAGCCCAGATTCTAGGACCTAGAATCCCGGGTGTGATGACGGGACACTCATGCAGCTCAGGGGGCTGGAGATCGGGAGGGACCTCCAGGTTACAGGATTGAGAAAGTCTGAGCCTCTAAAAGTAAGGTTGCAGGGGCCCATTTCCAGTCTCTGGCTCTATTCCATAAAGCAGAGACCCTGACCTCAGCACCTAGTGAGGGCTGGTCATACACGGTCTCTGACTGCACCTGGACCCCCCACAGTGGCCACCTGGACCCCCACAGTGGCCTTGGTTTGCAGCCTAGGTAGACCAGCTCCTACCTATAACTGCAATGTAGCTTCTGCCCACCACGTACCCAGAGGGCCTCAACCTGCAGCTGGAGGGAAGCCCCCCAGTGTGTGGGGGATCTGTCCTTAGAGAGAAGATGTGCGCCCTACCCCAACACTGCTGGGACAACCATTTGGCACTCCATCTCCACAGGGTGAGACATTCCACTTTCAATTATTGACATTTAATGAAAAGCAACATTTTGTGCAGGATAATGTTAGCACCCTGTTTTTTTTCTTTTTGAGATTTCCCTCAAGCAAACAAACTTTTTCTCCAGGTCACAGCAAGGAAAGGGAAGTGGGGTTGAGCAGCTTTACCTATGAAACCCCCAATTCTGGGTTCTGGGGCTGCTGGCTGCTGTCCGTGGGACAAAGCCTGGCCCTGGACAGACGGGCGGGGATGTGGCCTGGAACACAGACCGGCTCTGCATTCTGTCTCCAGATGGCCCTACCAGACCACCCCCTCTCAGGCAGTCTGAGTTGGAACCTTTATCCCCTTTTTGGGTGAAGGGCAACGCTGAGAGCCCTAGGCTGAGGACAGAGAGGTTGTCCCAGAGCCCGTGGCTGGGGGGACATGGGGTACCACCCTTTTTGTTTCCAGGGATGAAGCTCCAAGCAAGGCTAGTTAACAACTTAGTCTTTTATTTGACCAAGGCCAGGTGCTACAGACACTGAGGACCCAAGACTTCCAGAGAGGATGGAGGGAGGAGGGTCTACCCACCAGGTGCTGCCTGTCCCCATCCTGCTTCCTGAAGAAGGAAGAAAGGGAGATAAAGCCTACTTCTGTGCCATCAAGTATCTCGCTGGTTTACAGATAATGTAAATATTCAGCTGTTGGCATAGGAGGAAACTGAGGCACACTGCCCCCTCCCCACCCCCCAGGCCTCTATTTGCCAGTCCAAGGTTCAGCTGACTCCCTCCCTTCTCCACTTCCAGCAGAATGAGCTGTAGGCAGCCTGGGGAGTGTCTCAGGAGCCCATCTGGTGGCCTGTTGTGGGGGGAGGCCAGCCAGGGTCAAGGGCTGGGGGTGGAGGGAGCAGGAGGGATGTGGCTGGAAGAGCAGCTGCTGGGTGGGGGGGAGGGGGTCAGCATTGAATAGGGGACCCCAGCTGGGGTTCCATAATGATGTCAGTGGGGGACAGGCAGAGCCCTCTGCTGTCCAGATGGGGAAACTGAGGCGGAGACTCCAATCTTTGAGAAGGGAGGGCCTCCCATTGGCTATTCAGATCCATTCATCTTCCTCAAGAGGACACTGGCCCAGGAGCTCGAGCATTCTGTCAGTGGTCACTCAGTGTTAGACTGAGGCACAAGGGCTAGAAGGCAGCTGGGTCACCTGGCCACAGAGCCCTCCTCACTCCCGACAAACCAGAGGGCCACCTCCCCCACCCAGCTGCTGAGAGGCAGTGCTGGGCTCAGGCACTGCCTGCCTTCCCTGCTCACGTGCCTGAGAAAGTCTCATTTTTAGCACCTGGCCTCTTTTCCCTGCCTGGAGGGAGCTCGGGTAGGTGGGGGGGGACAGAGCAGGGAAGAAAGCAGACAAGGGGACAGGAAGACCTGGAAGCAGGGCCCAGGGGGACTCTGATTGCTCTGCACTGCCCCGAAGGTGCCCAGGCCCAGGGGACCCTCAGCCTCCGTGCAGTGTGGAGATGAAGAGGACGCTGTCCTGGTCCTGCAGCTGGTAGTCCAGCTCACCCTGGTGTGGGAGAGAGGAGCAAGGGGACTGTCAGGGCACTTGCCCTGGGAGGAACGACCACCTTCTACTGAGGCTTTGGGTGGGCAAGAAGCAGGGGGCAGGCTGGCTGTTCTGTGAGAGGAAGACTCGACCAGAAATATGAGCATCTTCAAATCTTGATGAAGGAGAGCTTGCCATCTCCCCACTGCCCATATTTTCCTCCCCTGGGGTAGGAGACTCAGGTGGGCTCAGGTTAGGGGCACAATGGGACAGAGGAGAATCCAGCCACCTTTCTGGGCCAGATGAGAGACCCATGGCTTTTCTACTGAAGCAGTGAGAGCAGGGTCTGGGAAGGGATGTCCCTGGAAGTACTGACCAGCAGTTCCCAGTCGGCATCGTTAATCAGCACCAGAATTCCTGGCCGCCTGTAGGAAAAATGGGGGTGAGCAGCAGGGAGTGAGAGCAGGAGGTGGTGGGCAGCAGGGGTAGAGGGGCTTAGGGTCTCTGGGCTAAAGGGAAGGTATCGGAGAAAGTTTTTCCTTCTGAGGTGCTGGTGAAAGGAAGTAGAAGCCACCCTCTGACTGTAAGGAAACCAGGACACACGATGTGACCTTTGGGTGACCAAATGCCAGCCAGCACCACCCAGGCTCAGGCAGGTATTTTGTTTCTCTGGGCAGCACTTTCCTCATGTGAATAAGCTATGGGGTAAACCGCAGTGCCAGGCCCAAAAGGTCTGCACGAGGATGAGCAAAGAGAGGCATGTGCCAGGCTCGCTGGCCCTGTGTCCTTCATGGTGACCAGCAGTAGGGACATCCTTTCCCAGGGTTCTAAGCTCATTCTCCTAGGCCCTGGGAATGGAGACCTTTGGCTTCCATGTTGCCCATGTGCCCCTCCTGGAGAGGCCATCTTGGCTCTTCTGACTCGGGGAGGGCAGCCGATGGCACCAGTACCTGTGTGCTCCAGAGCAGTACTACCTGGTGTAGGCAGGGTGGTCACACCTGGACAGGCAGCTGGGACTGGCCCCTATTGGCAGTGGCCCAAGGAGTACTACTGTCCTTGGGGATGGCCTCCAGGACTGCTGCACCATGGCCTGAACCAGGGGTTTAGCCTTAACCCCCAGGAGCTGCCAGGGATCTATGGTCTGAGACAGATGAACAAGCCTCATGACACTGCCAGCTCTCCTACGCGGAGGCTGGCCATGTTTGAGAAGTAACTTCTTGGCACGTGGAACCCGATTCTTTGCTAGGAGGATAGGCTGGACGTAGGACAGGTGTAGGAGCTTTGGCCTCCTATAAGGTGTCCCCAGCAAGTGCATGCATACATACATGCACATGGTCGATGACTCCCTGGAGCCCTAGACCAGCGCTGTCCCACATGCGGTCACTTAAATTGCAATGAAATAAAGCAGCATTTAGTTCCTTGATACTTGGGCCACTTTTCAAGGGCTCAGTGGGTCCATGTGGCTAGTGGCTGCCACAATGGACAGCAGACACAGAACACGCCCCTCATCGCAGGGAGTTCCACGCGATGGCACTGTCCGAGACGGTGAGATGAGAGGGATACTGGCGGTATCTGTGGCTCGGTACTTTCTGTGTGCAGAAAGTAACTGAGACCCAGAGAAGCAACACACCTGCCTAAGACTCCACAGCAAGTTTGTGGCAACCAGAAGCATCATCCAAAGTTTTTTGAGAAAGTCCCTATTTCTTTCACCTGGGTTTAAAGAAAATCCCCAATAGTCCAGCATGGTAACAAGAAAACTGAAAAAGACCTCAGACAGAGCAGACAGAAGCCCTTCCCTCCGAGGAGCCAGGGGAAGACAAAGGGGAGAAGGGACTCAGAGGAGGTTGAGATTGAACCCAAGGACTGGTGCTCAGATAGGCTCCCCCCCTCCCCTCTTCAGGGAAAGGAGGAAGGGGACTCACACGCTGTCTCCCTGGATGAACAACTCTGGCCGCTCTTTTAACAAATTCTTCTTGATCCAGACAAGGAGGTTCCGGATGTCCCCTGGAGAGGAAGGTACAGAACACAGTATTGTCAATCCCAAATGAATCCTGGTCCCTAAAGTCTTGCCTGGCCCAGAAGACATGGGGCTCAGGGGGCCTCTGGCAGCCTAGGCTGTGACAGCCCATGAACTCGTGGGTCCCCAAGTTGAGGCAAAAACAGGAAGGGCCAATGACCTGCCAGAGAGGTAATAAAGAGGCACCTGGCAGGCTTGGAGAGACAGTGACATTTACCTAGAGTAGGGAGACAGGGCAGACAGCAGGAGGAACTGTCACCTACAAAGGGTTGGGGGACAGATTCCCACTCACAAGCCCCAGACGCAAACTATCATGGCTAGGCTAATGAGAGGGCCCTGAAGACCCCTCCATCTTTATCTCTCCAGCCAGTTCCAGATGGGGAGGATTCGGCATTGCTCCTGGAAGGGTCTGCATATATTTCCCTTTGTGAGGGGAGAAAAACAATCATGGAACCGATAACATCAGTTAATTTCCTCTGGCAGAGGGAGAGAAGGCTCCTTCACCAGCAGGGACACTGACAAATCACTGCTCCACTACCCCCCTTCCAGAGCCTCCAAGCTGGGGTGGTCACCCTGAAGAGGCAAGAGGTTCAGGGTCAAAAGGGCCTCTCTTGCTCAACTGAACAGAGATCTGCCTCCTTGTGGTCCTGAGATGGCCACTGGTTCCTTTGTATATCACGCTGAGGCTCGGAGCTCTCTGACCCAGAACTCCCTCCTTTCCTAGAAGCAGGGGTGCTGGGCCCAGCACACTGGAATTTAGCTCTAAAAAGACTGCTTAAGCCTAAGGATCTCAACTACCCAATCCTCCGACAGACCAGTCTCCTGAGGCGGCAGGAGTTGCTTCCTTCTCCTCGGATGAGTTTAGGAGCAAGACAACTAAGCTCTGGGAACCCTGAGTCAGTGCTCCAGAGGGGTCTGCTGTCCTGGACCTGTGCCTAAGACAAAGCTCAGGGGCTAGGCGGGAGAACGCACCAGTAGCACTTTCGTTGCTGAGCCAGGCGTGGCTCTGCCCCAGGCTAAGCCCAGTTTCAAGGCACTCGCTGGCCTACCTGCCACCCTCCTAGAGGCAGGAAGACTGTACTCGCCAGGCAGGCCCACATCCTGGGTGGACTGGTCCACGTCACTGTGCCAACTTCCAGGTCATAGGCAAAGTGTCTATGGACTGAGACTTGATTATAATTCCTTCATGATCAGATCAGAGCCCCATGGTCCCTGGAGCAGGAGCGGACAGGGAGAATGCTGCCTACTACTAGTAGCAGTCCATTTGGACTCCTGGTTGCCTCCCCCCAGAGGCCTGGATTTCAGAGGTTTCCCCTTGGCTCTGAATCCCCTTGGCCTCCATCTTGGTACTGTCTGGTGGGCCGCCAGCCCATACATCTTGTGGCCGCTCGATAGAGCTGCCGGGGTCTGACACATCCATCAGCCAGCCTTGGCGGGCGGGGCTGAGCCTGTGTGTGTGGAGGCAGTGAGGAGGCCTGGCAGCGCTGGCCTGAGGGCCACCAGCGGCACCTCCACAGCCCTGGCCGGCCTGTACGGAACCAGGACTCAGTTGGAGAAAAGCCCTGGCTTCCTCTAAAAGGCCACTTCTGCTCTACTCTGGTAGGCTTGGAGGCGGGGGAGGTTGGTGGTCACGTTGGGGTCATCCACGTGATGGAACCATCATGGAGTCCCAGAGGGGTGGCTTGGGATGAGTCTGCCACGGTGCTGGCTCATTTATCACCAGGCTCCTCTTTGCTGAGGTCACTCCCTCCCTCCTCTGCCCACCCCCTGCCCCAGCTCTGCCCACATTTTTGATAGCCTGTTACCATGGTGAGGCTACAGCATCACCACCGTATTGTTCCCCCATGCCTGGATTTGGTGTGGGGGGGGGAGAGGTGGAACTCCCCGCTCCCTGGGCAGGCTTCAAGGGCCACTCGGCCTGGCCAGAAACACGCCCCCAGGGACATCTTGCTAGGCTTGTTGAGGCCCAGACAATATGCAAATGGGCTCCAGGCCAGATGGTCGGCTTCCAAAGGCGTCCAGGGGAGGAGGAAGGGTTAAGCAGAGTCAGGGGCTGGTGGCTTGGGGATGGCTCTGGGATAGAGGGGGTTGGGGAATCTCCTTTTCACCTTGCTGCTGCATCCCACTGCTTTCTCCCTCTTGCTGAGGGTGGTCTTCCTCCTGGGATCTCTGTCAGTCATCCACAAAACAAATATTTATTGAGCAGCTACTAAGTACGAGGTGCTAGGGAGACTGCAATGTGCTAGAGGGACACTGAACCTATCCTCCTAGAGCAAAAAGGCCAGCAGGAGAGACAGATATCACTTAATCAGCTGTGACAATGCTACTACCGCCTTTGTCTGGGACTAAAATAGCCTTGCTGAGGGTGTTAACATTGAAGGTCAGGACTGAAGGATGGGTGGGGTGGGGAACATTCTGGGCAGAGGAAGGGCATATGGGAAGACCTAAGGCAGGATGGATTGGCAGGTCCAAGGTAGCAGAACAGAGAAGGCATGAAGCTCAGCATAAGCTGGGGCCAGGACAGGAGCTGGGGCCTGGGCAGGCAGGATCTGTAGGCTTGTGAAGGGGCCTGCTCTGGAAGAGGCCTCACCCTCCTCCTGAATATCAGAGAGCAGCATTTGCCAAGTGCTTGTTCCCTAGCATGGAGCCCACACCTCCCCCACACTGTGCTCCTGGCCTTCTCTGCTTAACACAAGCATCCAGGTTCAGCTCCAGTGTATGGCATTACTGTTATCCATGTGGGGTCCACGGGCCTGGTACTGTTGCACACAGAACTCCGAGATGTGTGCTGAACACACAGCCATTGCGAGAGAGAGGGGAGAGGAATGGACTAAGAGCATGGACATTGGAATCACGTGCCTGCCTCTGCTACCTCCTAGTTTACAACCTTGGGTAAGCTTGGGTAAGGGGTTCCCTGAGACTCAGCTTCCTTTTCTTTTTTTTTTTTTTGGGTGGGGGACCATAAGAATGTGTCAGAGGATCAGATAGATGGACCACATAAAGCTCCTGGCACTGTGCCTGGCATATTGGCCATGTGATTATTCCAGCAACCAGAGGAAGAACCTTTAACCTCGGCACCCTGTGGCCCTGGGTGTCCACACTCTCTTCCCAGTGGCCTGGCACCTTTAGAGGGTAGGGTGCAGTCAGCTTTTAACAGGCAGCGCTGGGACTAGCTGGGGTTTTCTTATAGTCAGAAGCTACAGAGGGGCTGGGGGTGTGTGCGACTAGGACAGTGATGACAGGGTCCCGGACACTGACCTTCATTCCATCTTAGACGTACAGATCCATGAGGTGTCAGGGGTTGGTCTGCACTCCTAGGACAACCCGGAGGGAAGAATCAAGTTCTGAGGTACACAGCCTAGAGGCCGGACTGCCCACCGACACACAGCATAGAAGAGGGAGACAGATACCCTAAGGTCCCCAGTGAAGGCAGGGAAGAGAGAGGTGGGGCCCTACCTGGGGAAGACAAGTGATGGGAGATACTGCTCTGTAGTGGAGTGGCTAACTCCAGTTTTGGAGCCAGAAGGATCTGGGCCATGTGCTAAATGGCCCTGGGACATCACTGCCATTCTGAGTCTCAGTGCCATCATCCCTCTGACAAAGGAAGACAATAATCCAAACTCTAAAGAGGTGCTGCAAGGATTAAGGCAAGATATGAGTGGCAGGCTCAGCCTTGCGTCAAACCCACCAGTCTTGCTCATCAGATGGGCAGCTGCTCTGAGCTCTAAGTCCAGAGACTTCAGGCTCCTCACCTTTTGGGCTGACAAACTCTCTCCTAAAGGCTGCGGCCAAAGGGCCATCATGACATGCCCATCTTAGAGGGCACCCATGAAAGTGCCCATCAGAATTTCTCACCATGGTGGCCTTCCTCTTATCTGGGGGTTACTGACTGCCCACTGTGGCAGGGCCTCAAGGGTGTCAAGCCCAGCCTCTCAGGGCTAAAAAAGAACCACCTCAAGGTTATATTATCTGCTCTTGAACCCTGGCTCTAACAGACTCTCATCTGGCCTCTCTTGAAGACTTCCAGCGACAGGAGGTGTCAATTTCTCAGTGGAAGAGCTCTGATGGGAATAGCAGTCTTTTCTGGAGCAGAAATCTGCTTTCCCATCATGCCTGCCCACAGTGACCATACCGATAAAGGTGTCCCCTCTTTTCCCCAATGGCCCTATACGATTTGGGAAAGACTGATTCCCTAAGTCTTCTCTTCCACAGGGTAAACTCTCATCCCCACCAAGTCCACCAGGCTTCAAGATAAGGCTCTTTTGGGAGCCCACCCCAGGCCTTAGTTGAAAAGGGAGAAGAAAGAGCTGGCATTGGGGGGGAGGGTAAAAGAGAAAAGGGAGTGGAGGGAACATCAGAGGGTCCATTTACAAGTGAATGGGGTAAGAATGGAGCAGTTTGTGGGCTAAACTGGCCTCAGAAGGAGGTTTACAGATGTGCTAGGGGACGCTCCTCATTGTTTAATTAAGCAGAAAGTGGATCTTTTGAAAAGCAATTTTGCACATGGCCTGGGAGGGGTGGTGGTGGGGGGGAGGGAGGTGGGGACGGGATCAGCAAACAGGCCCTGAGAGCAGAGAAAGGAACAGCTGGCCCTACAGAGGCTGTGAAATGCATGCTAAGCAGTTTAAAGCACCCAGGAGCTCCTGGCAGCTCCTGCTCTCCCTCACTAGTCACCCTTTAATGTGAGTGAAGCAGGAGGAGGGGGTGTAAAGGCAGGGCAGGGGAAGTGGGACAGAGGAAGGTGAGGCAGACAGACCTCTCTCCTCCTGGGGCCAGGACCAGGAGCCCTGAGGTGCAAGGATCCTTCCTGGAATTTAAAAGCCAGCTCCCAGCAGCCACAATGCCCAGAGATGGCTGGTGCTTATCCTGCCAATTCCTGCCACCCCCGGTTTCATTGAGATGACTATTAAGACAACTTTCTACACACACAACCTGTCACTAGATCGCCACACCCTGCTTCACAGAAGTGTATATATTTAGATCTGGAAGCAATTTTTCCAAATTGTAGATGTCAATACATAACTGGTTCAATAAAGAATAAAGTTAACTCAACCTCTTACCTTATAGACCTGGAAAAAAGAGGCCAGTGGATAAGGGATTTGTAATTGCTCCCTGCCAGGGTTCTTCTCTTGCATTCACCAGCTTTGGCCTTACCCAGCATCTTCTCCCACGTTAACTGGGTTAGAAGCTCTGTCCCCTGGCCTGGGATCTACAGGTCACTTGCTATTATTTCTGCCAGTCTCCAAGAGACCTGCTTGGCCAAGTGGCAGCCCCTAGGCTGGGAAGGTTGCCAGATGATGGACCTGGGCACAGACTTGTGTGGGAGAGTAAGACTCTCTCAGCAGCACCGTTCCTGAGCCTCCGGACATGCTCACGTGCATCAGGGTAAGGCCTGATGGCTGCTAGCCAGCTCTGTAGCTGCAGTGTGACCTATGTCTCTGGGCATGGTAGGCTGTAAACAGAAACCAGGAGACTCATAGCCAACGGCCTAAAGACTGAACAAAGAGGCCATCTTGCCCTCCCTCTCAAATCCTTCCCATTCATCCCAGAGAGGGAAAAGGCCCTCCCCTAAGCAGTGGCTGTAGGATGAGAGATCAGACACCTGCATCCTAGTCCAGCTTCCCTATTCGGGTAATTCTGGACAGGTCTCAGGTTTCTCTCCGTCCCACCTCCTTCTCAGGTCGGTTTCCTTGCTAATAGTATCCACTGGGATCATTGCAAAAATTAAAATAAGTAGCTGTTGAAAGCATGAATGAATGAGCAAGAATAAAACAATTATACGTATGAGATGTCAGGGTGAATCAGGAGGCTCTTGGGATCAGTGGTGATGGGTTGGTGGCACAGTGCTGGGGTCTCTGGAGACCCTGAAATCTGGTTCTGAATCTCACACTGCCATTTACAGAACTATGACTTCGGGGTAAGACCCCTGGCATCTCCGAGTTTGGGGTTTTTTTAAAACTGGAAATATTTAATGGTAGTTATCTCCTAGGAATCTGTGACAGCAATGTGCAAAACCGATTGGGGTCTTGCCTACCACTCCAAACTCAGTTTGTGACCCTCTGACACTGGCCTCCCTTGGCCACCTAGACCTCCTCGGGGCCTTCAAAGGTGCCATGCCCTCTGAACAGGGCCTTTCACCCTGCTCTTCTATAGTTCATTAGGCTGGTGTCTTTTCATTCTTCAGCCCTGAGCCTCATTGTTACCTCCTCAAAGAGGCCTTCTCTGACCATATGAAAGTCTTGTTTGAAGCACCCTTTTTATCTGTTTTTTAAATAATTATTTGCTGTGACCAGCAGATGGCGTAATAGTCTCATCGCTGGACTCCCACGTAGTGGGCTACAGTTCGAGTCTCCAGACCCAGCGGTTTAAAACGTACTTACACTGGCGGTGCGCGTGTGCATGCCCATTATCTCGAGAGAACGGAGAAGGGACTGCGGCAAGGCCATCCCCCCGGGGGGGTGATTTCTCCCTGTCTCTCTGGCAAGTGTACATGCCCTATAGCAAAAATCTCTCTCTCTCAAAAAAGAATTATTACTTTTATTTATAATTATTATTTTAAAAATTTGCTATAGGGCACACGTGCTTACCAGAGAGAGAGAGAGAGAAAGAAAGAAAGAAAGAAACAAACAAACAAACAGAGAGAGAGAGAGAAAGCAAGTCACCAGGTCTGGGACTCAAACCATAGTCAGCCAGGTCGGAGTCCAGTGCCTTAACCACTGCAACACCTGCAGGCCCTGTAACCTCCTTATAAATTATTATTTAATTGCCAAAGGTATGTGCACTTCCCAGAAAGACAGAGGG